CGAGCATAGACTGCGGAATTATTCGACGTTCTTATTAAAATCTGATAGCTGAGATAATTGAGAAGAAAAAAAAGAGAGAAGCTTGTCTTTCACTTCATGGAATTAATAAAGATTTGAAACAACTTCATATTTGTTTTGAAATTATTTAGCATTAAAAATTGCGAACTCTCACAGGGTCTTCGCCAAGATCGTACGCGAATTCGCTGCAGAATCTGTGGCACGTACCCCGTATATATACACGTACATATATATACGCACTGAATAGCACGTGGTATGCGGGCGATTATACACGCGACTACGGAGTGCGAGAACGCGAGAGCTCAAAACCGCCGATCAAGATTTCTCGCCGAACGTTCTCGTTGACGAGCCCGCGAAAAGAATTCCTTGTGGAATGAGAATCACATCTCAAATATCTGTTCGCACAATTAAAACGCATTGTCTTAACTACTCCCTCGATTTGCAAGTCCACTCTCTGCATTGGGAGGAAAATATATCGAAAAAATAAAAACTATTTTATTCGATGGTACTCATAACGTATTTATTTAAAACCTAAATTTTTTTATTTAAATTGAATAAACAATTGCTTTCATGAAAAGCTAAGATTTTAAGAAAATGTATATTTTATTTTTGTGAAAAATATTTTATGTAAGTAAATATAGTGTTATAATACCCATCGAATAAATATCTTTTGCTTTTTAAGTATTTCTTTCCTAGTGTAATAATAAAAAAATATGTAAATATAAGTGCACTTTCTGACGCGTGAAAATGCACATTTTAGTAAAATTATGACTGCAAGAAACAAAAATAAGTAAGACAAAATATTTTGAAAAAATATCTTGCGATTCATTTTCCGCAAAAATACCCGCAAGACAAACGATGTAAAAGTATCAAAAGTACCTACGCCTAGACACATACTTAGCCCTAAACATTCTTATTATTTCTTGGTCTTTAAATATATTTAAATTTTCAACAAACACACATAGAATGTATGTATACATATATTTAATATATGTACATATTATATTCTTTATTTTGCGAGTTTAAATATGTTTGTATTTAAAAACCAAAACAAAGAGAATGTTTAGAGTTGGGTACGTGTACAGACATTTTTATCTTTGTTGAAAATTCCTCTACTGGTTACATAAATGTCCGTATCTGCGCGTATGCAAAGTTAACGAGCGCGACTGTCTTCGTTGGAAATATAACAATAACATCATGAAAGACACACGAACGTCGCGTCGCAGTCGACAATTTGACAATCGAGGCTCCAAAAAGTCGCAAGAAGAAGAGAGTTCGTGTTTTTAATTCCAGCTTTCTCACACAAATCAACGCGTGCCATTATAAAAGAGCACTTTTCCCGAAACGAATATCCGTACAATCGCTCGAGCAAAGTTCGACGCACCCAATGGAATTCCAAACGCGCGCGCGCTCCACCGAACTTTTACGTGCGGATGAACGAAACGTCAACTTCACGTGAACTGTCCTCCCTGATTTACGATTCGCGTGTACGCGACTGTCGTATTTTCGTCGAAAAGGTAAGAATGCGACATCTTACTGCGGATGTTATCGAAAGTGCCGGAGAGGTTAAAGAACGAAAAGGAACTTGCGGCCGAAACTTACGGTATTTTCTACGGTTTGTATTTTCTGCGAGTATACCTGACAGAGGAGCGGTTTGAGAGATATTTCGGGAGAGAACAAAGAACCACCGGCCATATGATGAATCCTTTACACGACTGTTTACATCGTCAACCTGACACAAAGCGAATGATCAGGCGCAAGAGTAGAAAACAATGAATGCGAAAAGCAAAGTGTAGAAGAGTGTAGAATGGCTGCAATTGTGGAGAAAATGTTTAGTAATCGACACTCTTGCGCGGATATTATCAAATATCAAGGTGTATAGGGATTTAAAAGAAAACGAATAAATATATAAATAATAATTGATAAATAATTAATAAATGATTCCCATGCACTTTGATATTCAATCAAATTCGAATAAAAGTGCCGACTGTTAGAAGTTTTCCTCTATTTCGCAATCGCGTAGAGATGAGACGTAAGGACGATTTTCGCGCGTTCACCACACGGAAGTCTCGACACGTCGAAACGATACCGGTTTTGAGGAGTTTCAATCTCTCTCACTCACTCTCTCTCTCTCTTTCTCTTTTTTCTCTCTCTCTCTCTCTCTCTCTCTCTCTCTCGGCTCGGGCTAATCGAACACGAGGAGATAGAACAAACGCGCAAATGCGACGGTGAATTCCGACGCCGCGGAATTCGCTTTTCAAAAAAATTTCGCAATTTTCTCTTATCTGAAACGCCGAGTAGCGTGGAGTTCGAGTGCTAAGAAACGCAAATATTCGCGCGCATGTGCCGAAATGTCTTTACAATACATACCGGTTCCGCGCAACGAAGCAGTTTCAGAAACAATGGCGGCCGACGGTCGTGCGCGTCCGTTAACGTGAATCGCCGAGTCGCGTGAATTGCCGCGAGATTCCAAACGCGAATAAATTCCGAGCGCTGCGCAGTCTGCGCGCCGCACAGCCGTCGGCTAACGTTAAGTCGTCGGCTACGGGACTGCTCGCTTATGGCGCGCTAACTTTTTGAAAGACCGCGGGGTCGAAGTGCGTGCGCGCCAACTGCCACGACGAACATGTACCTGCTACGAAATTCCATGCTAAACGCGACGATGACGACGACGACGACGAGGACGACGACGATGAGGAGACATCGACTCTCGCGGAGGGAGGGAAACGACGGATTCGTCACGACCACGGCTTTTGGCGATTTTTAATCACGAGATCATCAAATTAAATGTCGCGCCGACAACAAAAGATCTGTTTTTTCTTTCGAAGAGTTTGCTGAACTAATGTACACCGGTGCAATAAGTTAGAGTGAAACAAATATATTTTGTTATTCGTAATTACTGCACCGGTGCACACTAGTTTAGGAAGTTCTTCGAGAAAAAAACAAACCTAAGGATAACGATAAAGACAATGACGACAATGACAATGACGATAATGACGACGACGACGACGACGACGACGACCGCGACGACGACGATGATGATGACGACGGTAAGCGTGCTACTTCGCGTGGTCGTCGGCGACGGCGCCGCGGCTCTCGACGTTCGCGAGGAATCAATAGAGGAATGCGACGTAGCGTAAAAGAAAAATGAGAAAAAACGAGAAAAAAGGGAGCGAGTCGCACGCATTCCTCGGGAGACCGCGTCGGCTCGCCGCATTTCGTTGCTTCGCTTTATTTGACGTGCATGCTCACGCTATGTGCGTATGTGTGTGTACGTATGCATGCATGTGAGTATATCCTGTGCGAGTTTCATGTGATTCGCGCGCGCGCGCGCGTGTATATTACGCTTAACCTACTCACACGCACAGCCGCTGCCGCTTTACACTCCTCGTAGGCCGCACGCGAAAGCTCGCGCGATTTCAAGTCGTGACACTCCTCCGCTGGCTGTTGACACTCGAGTAAACGCGACGTCGGTTGTACGGCGCGTTCGTCACCGGCGCTCCGTGCTGCGGCCGGGCGCGTGTTTTCATTGAAAACGACGAAAATCTAATGGTATGCGGGCGGACGCGCCGGAGCCCGTTTGACACGACAGGCAGCCTCGTTGTTTGCCCCGTTCCCCACCTCCACTCCCGCGGCCCACAGCACCGCACGCCCCCACCGCCGTGGCCGCGCTGTTCTCTTCACCCCCGCGCGCGCGCGCTCCGGCATTACGCTGGAATGTGCGGTATTCGCGCGACTGTCACGCCACGGCGGCAAAACCGTCAACTAGTCCGCCCGCAGCCTTGTAAATACGCCGGAGTATTATTGCGAATAGAAACGACACAACGGCGAAACTCTCTCTCTCTCTCTTTCTCTGTTTCTTTGTTGTATTGATACTTTCCGAGTCAGTCAGGATGTGATCGAGACACGTCTCGCTTTTCAAGAACACGTTCCCTTTTTTATCGTCGAAAATTTTTGCGAATTTTCGAAATTTTTCCCGACTTGTCCTACTTCTTCGTATCTACAATATATGATTTTGCAATTTAGATACACCTAACACATCGGTTATCAGTTTATGAAAATGCTCGAGCTTCGAAGTGTTTCTAGCGCTTCTCTAAAATTATTGCATTACCTATTTACTGCAATTCATTCTTTACGATTTTTGTAAAAATAAGTTTAAAAAATGCAAAGAAGAAAGATGTAGATATATATATACAACGTGTAAGATACGTTCAATCAATAATTAGTTTAAAATGACAATATCTCCAGTCATTAGTTGAAAGCGTAAAATAAAAATAAAAATATTATAAAGAAAAACTCGCATATCTACGTTCAGGTATTCGAATTCCTTAATTTCTATGCTGCATATCTCACTGAATACGAATACCTCGATCTACGGGAATCTCTACATGCCTTTACCTACGTGACGAATACGATAGGTCACAGTAACGTGAAAAGAAGAATAACTTGCAAATCTGTTCTGTAGCATAAGGAAAGATATGTATCTCAGGTCGAAACAGAGAATTTGACTCGATATTAAATTTGTTAAATTTCCTTGATTTAGCATCTCTTTGATCTTATTTGCACTAGAAAGACTGATGGAACGATAGAGATCGATCTTCCAATGGTGATAATTATTGTGGGATTACGTTTTGTCTGATAACGGAAAAAGATCAGTAATGATTAAATTCCTGCTACAAACGATATCGTTTTTAAACACAACGTTAAGATTAAGTAAGATCAATAAGAAAGTAATAATTGATTTAATGATGTTTATGCGAATTACTTCTTTTTAAAAGTGATGTTTGAAACATTATGTTTAAAACATAGAAAACTGATATAGTGTTATTTATATATTTTCGAAATTTGGCATGTCACTTTCGAACTAAGGAATTCGTAGACACATATTTACTGAAGTTTCCATAGACATAACATATATATATATATGTGTGTGTGTGTGTGTAAATATATATATATATATAAAGAGGTTCGTGAAAAATCAATTTACGATTGAAAAATCTTTTATGGAACAATGCAACATTGACAAATTATGTAACATCGATTTGGAGTTACGGGGAATTTACTCTCTAACATCGCATAAAAATCATGAAATTATGCATACAACGGCTTCACGCTTCATGTGTATGTTATAAATTAAAATAACATCTAAATCCTCAATAGTAAAATAAAAAATTGCAATTACTTATAGATAAGACGAACCTCGTGTTTTCGCAAAAATGACGCATTATCACCTACATTTCTACAAAAGCTTGCGTATAAAAATCATTCAGTAAATAAGAAATCAGTGTTAATAAGAAAACTATGCATCACAGATGTACAAAACATGTCGGCTTCGAGTAAAATGCACTACATTCAAAGTACAATTGAAAGACCACAGAAGCATAGATCCTTTTGGTTAGAATATACATATCTCTTCTGTTAACAAATCTCTATCCTTTTGAAGCTTTTGATTCTACAAAATGTACTTTAATTAAGTTGTTTCAGGACTATTGTGTTTTACAGCTTATATAAACATCATATAGCATTTTTTTGTACAAACGGTGCAAATAACTTAAATATAAAGTTCACGTTCGCGTTCGTATTCGACGCAATCTTGCTTGCGTATGTGTTCCAATATTTAAATTGCCTCGAAAAATGCTTCTTCGTCTTCACTTGTGGTATCCATTTCCTTACATAACTGAAAAATATTACAAAACAATATATAATTTAAATAAATTTGAAAAATATATCCTATAATGTCTACCACACATAAAAAACTCACTTTGTACAAAGAAATAACTATATGATAGTAGAAGTAGTGCTTCTTGTAAAGCATTTTGTTTATTTTCATAATATAAATAGTTGAAAATATTAATCGGTCGATACACACCTCGTCTAAATCTGGTCTTTTTAATATCTCCTCGAGTCCTGATAATTTCTCAAGATAATTTGGTATGTTACAAGCATCGAGCACAAAAGCGACTCCTCGTTGTCGATACTCTTTGATTAAGGGCACCGAACAAGCCGTGCAGGATGCAAATCTATATGTGACCGTCAATTTCATATCATTGCCCCAAAGTGAGCCACGTATCGTGTGAGGTACGCCGCCTAATATTCCTATCAACGGGTTATCTGCATTCTCTGTATGATCATTTGTGTTGTTATTCGTAAGAGCTTTAGCTGAAATCCTGGTAATCATAAAAATAATTCATTAAAGATTCATAAAATGATTTTTGAAAGATTTTTAAAAAAGATTTTTATACAGATATAAAATAAGCTATCATAAAAACGAAATTGTATAATTGTAATGTGTATAACATATTCTCTTAGCTTACCCTTGAGGATGTTGTGTTATCGCCATAAGTAACTCAACCGCCAAACCTGCTGCGATTTGTGACAATCCCGGTCGAGTGACAGTACACTGTTGATCGAGTGTTCTGTCTGTTTGCGACTGAAAGCAAAAATATAAATAATTGTTAGAATAGAACGAAACCATCGTGTCTATTAGAATATTTTGATTTACACGATAAAGATTTGAGTAGTTTTATAAACAATACATAATATCTAGAATAAAATGAATATACGCTTACATTTCCGGGTTGCGTGACATCATTACAAAAATAGCACCCGAGATCTTGTCCCTCAGGATATTGTACTAATAAAATATTGGACGAAGGGGGAACGGATATATCGCGCGTACCATGCCGTTGCACCGTATACGAATCGAACCCCAAAGCAGCATTGATAGCTATCTTATTCATCGTGGCGCACAAAAGAGTAGGCAGCCACCTGGCTTCTCGTGAGTCCAGAAGCAAGAACACCACATCATGAGACTGTACGAGTTCTTGCAATTTGTTCACTGCTTCCTCAGTCTTCTCCATCATACTTTGACCAACCACGTGTCCAGGCATAGGAATATGCAAAACGACACCTTCAACGTTCTGCAGCATTAAATATTAAGTAATGTCTGTAATAAAATATCTAATGTACGTTATATTATTTAGATAATAAAAATACCTTATATTGATCTCCATGAATTAATGAGATATAATGATACATTATACAAAATGTTTTAAAATAAAAACTTACATAAATTTGTATCATTATTATGGAATTATCAATTGTTCAACGAGTTCTGAAGATTGTCTTACTGTAAAATAAATTTGATATAATTGTATATAAGACTTACCATGTTAGGGCGTATTCTAAGCAGAGCGTCTTTCGCAGCGTAAGCCTTGTGTCGACGTAGTACCGCGTCTTCGTACGTATACAAGCTCTGACGAACTGTATTATTGTAGGACACAGTAGAATTATCTATGAGCGTCATGTTATTAATACCCCAGCCAAGGAGTATTCTCGCCACGGAACATCCTAACGTACCAGCACCCAACAGAAGACATCGTAGACTACTGATCTTTTGTAAGTCTAGATCAGGGGCAAGGCGCCATTTCATCAATTTTAAATTCAAATCGATCGCTCTTTCTGCTAGTCTAGTGTAACACGTAAACATAAGTGGGTGTTTATTAAGTTAATAATTAAGTATTCATGCTTAGTGCAATTCTGAATAAGTTGTAGAAGTTAAAGAGCCTTACTTGACCGGATCCATAACGTTAGATAATTTCGCGATCATAGGAGCCATTTTTCCATGTGCACCAGTTTCCCAACCTACTAAGTGACCTTCAAAAATAGCTTTCTTCATGGCTTCTATGTCTGTCTGTCCTTTAATTATAAGAGTATATATAACAGCAGTCGTTTGCGCTCTATCACATCTCATAGACAAGATCTTGATCTTCTGTGTAAGACAAAATGTAGTGCAATGGAACAGCAATAGGCACAGCAGATTTCGCAAGGGCCATCCGGGCTCTGTACTCGTGCAAGGATCATAAAACGCAAAATACACTTCATCTTTTGCCTGGTAAAATAAAAGATAATTTTATCTCATTGTCAAGTTAAATAATAACTAATAAAAGTTATAAGTGTTTACTAATAACACTAATAATGTTATTATTTCTAATAACTAATATTGACAAAAGTTAATATTAGTAACTTTTGTCAATATTAGTTATTAGAAATAATAACATTATTAGTGTTATTAGTAAAAGAAAATGCTGTTCTAACTAATATTCACTTATTAAATAATACCTGTTTTGAATCTTCTCTGTCATTAGTAGTTGATCTTGCATATTCTACTCCTTTCGATAAGTCAGTAACAGTTAAGTCATTTTTTTCAGACACAAACACTGAAAAGAAGTTCTTTGATCTTGCATCTAGCTGAAGGAATCCTGTGTGTAATTTGCTTATTTGATCAGTTGTAAATTCACTAGATGCAAGTTTTGAAGGCTCAGTTAAATAGATCTCTGGCAAAGAGAAAGGTGTTGGATGTGCAACCCAATAATAAAACTGATACTTCTTCAGATCAGAATATGCAAGCACTAGGAATACTGAAAGTCGCCAAGGTTCTTGCAAAGCTGTGCCATCTATGATACTGTCAGTAATACATTTGCCCATTGTTTGAATAAATTTTTCAGGTTTTATCTGGCGATATGCTTCTGAAGTGTTTGTATTAATCATATAGCCACAGCAAACTACTGCCATATTGTTGGAAATTGTTTCTGCATTTCTATAAAATCCATCTAAATATTAGCTTATCTCAATTATTATATATTGATACATAATTTATATAATGGGTATAATTATTAATGATTAATATTAATAACACAAATAATATTGCAAAATAAATTTATATCTATATTGGTTTATCTTGATTTATCTTGTATCTATATTGGTTTATATTGGTTTATCTTCTATATAAAAATAAGAGAACATAGAGGACACACACATATTCTCTCTATATTTATGCAATACTTACTCATTAAATGATGCATAATCAAGTATCAACGGTTTAGTTCTCGGTTCATTCATTGGTTGAAGGGAAAAACTACCTAATAAATTTACCTTGGACTTTTCATCCAACTTCAATTTCTCTAATTTCAGTTCTGCAAATTTTGCCCAGAAGCTCGGGTCTGTTAATGTTTTCAATTTAGTAAATTTTACTACTTCGGACATCTTTGTTGGTATTTAGTGATTTATGCCAGCCTGAAAAATAACAGATTGCAGTGAGTATAATCACTTGCGATAACTTAAGATGTAAACATTAACAAGAAATTAGAAATTAGAAATGCGATATTTCTGTTTATTACAAATAGATATTTTACGGACAATTTTAAAACATATACGAATTATACTCCGAAGAACATACATTTTATTATTGCTACACAACACCATACAAAAGTGACACTTGATAGGTTGGAACGAACTCGAATTTATCATTGTCACAAAACGTTATATCAACTTTTGGAAATAAAGTATCTTAGCTAGATCAAAGAATGCGATGAACGTAAACATATTGACGGTGAGTTATAACCTTCAAAACACGAGTACGCCTATACACATACCTCAAAAGCAATTGTAAATAAGACTCGTAGATGACACCTTACTACACACGCGCAAACATCATTGATGCTTCACATCCGTAACTAGCTATTTCCGGGTGGGACGTGTCCCGCCCAATTTGTTCGTTTTATTGATTCAACACCTCTTAGCACTTTTTCTACATTTTACAAAACATTTTCTACAAACGAAGTTAATTTACATTCAGAGTCATGTCTTTGATAATTTACCAAATATGTGTTGACATATGTCCCCAGACAACATAATATCTAAAGTCGGGACATAAGACGTTTTAAAGATAATCTTTAAGACGCCCTAAAGATATTTATACGTAAATCGTCTGAGACATCTTAAAGATTATCTTTAAGACGTTCCGATTTTAGACATTATGTTGTCTGGGTCAGTGAACCGAATAAAGCAAATTTTTTTTTCTAATATTTACCAATCTAATATCAGCATATTTTCCTCCTAACGTTTAACTATTTCTTTAGAATGCTAATTACCACATTGTTACGCGAAAATATTTTGTTTCTATGACTCATCGACATTCGTTATTATCGGTTTATGTACTGTGTAAAATATATATACGGAGAGGCGTATCGATACACGGAGAATATATATATGATGCAGATAACAATGGAAGGAAAGGAAAGTTATACATCAACATGATACGTTAGAATTCTACACATATAATTTTTTTAGTAGAACCAATCAAAGTCACAGATTAATCAATTACACGACTTTGGGACGAAATCAGCGTACTGAATAAAAATTATTATCTCGTGTAGAAATTATTATTTGTACTTCGAATCACGCTGAATTTTGAATTCAAGGACTACGTTCTTTTTTTTTAGACTTTTGCTTTTACAAGATATATCGCGTTAAAATTTTATTCTTGCAGCTTTGAACTTTTTCAACTTGTGGATAATGGTGTAAAACCAATCTTATTCGATCAAAGAACGTTGGGACCAAATGTCCATTGTCCGGCATTATTCGACGCGTCGTACGTTTTCCAGTACTCACGCAAGTATAACGAACGAGTAAAATTTCTTTGTCAGTAATTGCGATCCGTGTACACGCTTTGTAAGCAAGTAGGGCGGAATAGGAAAGTTAAACGCGCGATCTTGAAAGTATGAAGATTTCACAATACGCGATCGACGTTGCGGTTGAGCGTTTGTGCGAACAAAGACGTCAACAAACTTTTTTTTCAGAGAGAGTATATAGCCGCTTACAAGAATCTTTCCACAATTGCAGAAAAAATTTCTCGGATAAAAACAACATTGAGAAAAGTTTATATTTCGTAAAATTGTTGCGCCAAACGAAAATCAGCATATTAATCTCAATCTCGATTGCAACATTAGCGATTAATCGATACAATTATAATCAATGATTACTTCCGCTTCAAATTCATTTCCCATTTCTGATAATCACGAATTGTAATTGTAAATTACTCAATGATCATATTTATTAATCGCTGGACTGTTTCCTAATTATCGTGCATTATAATTCAATCCACTGCCCATATTTCAGTCAACTGAATAGTAACGCCTGAACTTGGCGCTCAAGGGTACAGCCCTGAATTACGTAGTTACCTGCGCAGCTGTGTGCGCAGATGACATCACCACGCCAATATGGCTGGACGGCATCGGCTGTCTGCAGCGCGACTGTGAAAACGGGCTGCCCGGGGGTACCGAGGGAAGTCCAGGGGAAATATGTCGGACTACCTGAGGTCCGCGCTCGGTTACCTGAACGGCGGTACCGGCGGCAACGAGTACGTCGGTCAGACTTTGGAGATCAACAATGTGAGGCTGAGAGTGACACGACTGATCGCTGAGGGTGAGTCTATCTTCGCATAGTGTATGATTGCTTTTGAAATCACGGGGTTTACGAACGACACCTCTCATTGTGATCTCGCGCAATTCATGCCGACGAAGTTGAGCCACGGTGGCCACGTAAAAAACGCGACAACCTCGACGTGTGATCGGAAAAAAAAAGCTAGATCCAACATGACACTGGGTCTCGCGCAACATCCGCCTCCTAACATGTGTCAAACGTGTGTTTTGACACGCGGTCAAACGCGCGCACGCTACGGGCAATTATACTCCCGTCTTTTTATCTCGCGCGCGTCATGTTTCTCTCTCGCTTTCTATCGTGTTCTATCGCTGCCTTGTCGGCCAGACTCGATATTATTGAAGGCTGTCAACACCTACGCAAAATCGACAAATATTTGTTAATATTTCTGTTGTCTCATTAAATAATTTTTAAATCGTATGCCGAGATTGTGTTTGTTGAACTTCTGCACTCTATTTTTCTAATGCTTTATCTCTTAATATGTGATCTTCAATGTTTATTTTAATTATCTAATATATTTGTATAAAGAACTGATTATTGCTTTTTGTTATGGTGTGTGTGATGTTTTGTTGACTTTTTATTTAATATATTTTCCACACACACATATATGTTATGTGTACATTTGGATATGAACTACTTTTTTACTTTTGAATAAATATATACATAAGTATATATACTTTTTATATTTTTGTAATAAAAATTAACACATAATAATATAAATAGTATATAAATAGTAAACATAAACACATGTTATATCTTCATAGTAAGTCATGTAAATTATTTTTAGTATATATCAAATATATATAAAGCAACTTTTTTTATTATGCTAGTAAAAATTGAATAATAGTAACATTAAATCAATATTATAATTTCTTAACAATGTAACCATTGTATACAACATGTGATATAGTGCACTTACATTATTAAATAAGATGTAACATATGGATATAATATTATATATACTATTACACTTGATAATTACTGGGATTCTATTATTTTATTAGATTTTAAAGGAATTTATTTTCAGGATATTATAAACATATGTGTTTTGTTTGTTAACTATTTTATGTGTCACTTTCTTTTTTCTACTTTGTGTTGAACTCCTACAGAACAGCCTTAAATGTTTACAAAAATATATTTTTGTACCCTCTATCTTAAAATAATTGTGACATTTAACATACAAGTAATGGCTGTGTTCAGAAAACATAGCTGATCAGTGAGCGGTCAGTGATTATTGGTCCTTACTGTTAGATCCCTAACTTTAGACCAATTACGTTGACTAATTACTCAACTGTTGTGTAATTGTTGTGTCTCCTGAATGCACCCAATGTTTCTTTATGCACGTGATAAGAACACAAGTGGAAAATACATATATAGTTGTTGTAATCGAATTATGTATCATAACATTTAGATAATTTGTGGCAAACGTCGTATCAACAGGTGGATGGGCATTGGTGTTTGCAGTAGAAGATGTTGCCACAGGAAAAGAATATGCACTTAAGGTAATCGAATTCTCCTCTCCTGCTGCAACACAGCATGAATCATTATTCATTAACATGGGATTATCTTTCCACCATCAGAGGCTTATCGCGGCCGACGAGGAGGCGAATAAAACTATTATACAGGAGATAGAAACGTTGAAGAGGCTGTCAGGTCATCCAAATATTATACAGTATTTGCATGCGCAACGACTGGAGCGAGAGAATCACAAGGGTTACGAATACCTGGTTGTCACCGAACTATGTCCAGGCGGTACTGTGGCCGATATACTCAGGAGCGTGTCCGCGAACACGCTGACTCTCGCCCAGGTGTGCAAGATTGCCTATCAAGCGACTAGAGCGGTGCACCATATGCACAGTCAGCAGCCGGAACCGTTCGTGCATCGGGATATTAAGTTAGAAAACTTCTTACTCGGGAGAGACGGCCTTGTGAAACTTTGTGACTTCGGTAGCGCCTCGACTCAACAGATACTACCGCATCCGTCATGGAACGCTCAAAAACGCGCCACTCTGGAGGACCAGATGGCCAAGTGCACAACCCCCATGTACCGCGCCCCAGAGATTATGGACACGTGGAATAATGAACCTATAGGGCCTCCTGTGGACTGTTGGGCTCTAGGATGTATTCTGTATGCTTTAATCACACTGCGACATCCTTTTCCGGAAGGTGAGATAACGTGATCGTGTTTCATTAAATGTTAAGGGGAAACACCACGATGAGGGCAAAAAAAGGAATATTTCAGAAATTCTTCTTTAAGTAACAATACATTTTTTAAATTGTTATTTTATATATATTGCATGTTTCAAAAAGACTTTGTCTTTCAGCGAGTTTTTTTAAAACAAAAAAAATCCGCACATGTAAATGAAAAAAATTCGATTACGAAGAATTTGCTGCAAGATAGAAGTTAATTAGATTAATAACATTCTAAATATTTTTCAAAAAGCTAGTTTAAAAAAAAATAGTCTCGCGAGATATGCGCTTAAAGATAACCCCAGTACTCGATACGTTGCGATAACGCTTCACACATTCTCTCCCTTAACTTCAATTTTCAAGTAATCTTTAAACAAATCTTTAAACAAATTGTTTAAAGTAATCTTTAAACAATTTTCCTAAACTATATAATCTTTAAAGCGCTATAAAGTCAATTTTTTTTTAAATTCCTACTGTGGTGTTTCCTCTTAAGTCGAATATAACGCAATAAATTCTACGGAATTAAAATTGACAATTAAATTTGACTGTGGAAATCTACGAAAGAAATTACGAGAACAAAAATTCCTCCTGTTCAAGAAAGATATATTAATGTACTACTAATCGGAAATATGATAAAGATAAAAGATACAAGTCATCAAAACTAATCACTCGTTACAAATAAAAAGAATTCGATTGCGGAGAATTTGCTACAATATAGAAGTTAATTAGATTAATAGCTTTTTAAATATTTTTCTCTCAGGCCAGTTTTAAAAAGATAGTCCCGCGTGATATGTGCTTAAAATAATCAACTTCAGTATTCGACACGTTGCGATAACGTTTCATAAATTCTCCCTTAACTTCAATTCGCTTTTAGCAAAATTTGGAAATGTACCACGATTTTATGATAAAATTAGACCGAAATATTTTCCTCGTCTTGCAGGTAACAAGCTAGCGATTGTGAACGGCAAGTATCCATCGTTACCGCCCAATCCACGGTACGCGTGTCTACACGATCTAGTGAAAGGATGCCTGCAAGTGTCGCCCATCCAGAGGCTGACGACAGCGACGCTCCTGGAACGTCTTGCGGCGATTGCCGAGTCGAACAACTTTGATCCGAGAGAACCACCGCGGATTGAAGTCGCAATCAAACCGTCACCACCGCCACGTCCGACACCGCCGCAGCCGACGAGTACGCCGGCTCCACCACCCCGTCCTAATCCTCCAGCAGCGATGCCACCCCCGCGACCGGTGCCCGTGCAGACAGCGGTGTCCAAATTGCCACCGGTTCAAGGGACAGGCCTATTCAACTCGATCAAAGGCGGTGCCGGCAGCATTCTGCGCAACCTCAAAGATACCTCCAGCAAAGTGATGCACACCGTTCAGCAGAGCATGGCCAGGACTGAGCTAGACGCGAGTTACTTGACGTCACGCATACTCATTATGCCGTACCCGGCCGACGGGATTGAATCTGCCTATCGAGCGAATCACGTGGAAGACGTGAGAGCTTTCCTGCAAGCCAGGCATCCTCCGCCGGCCAAGATACAGCTGTATAATCTGTCTCGCGGCCGGCCGAACGTCTCACGGCTTCCCGGCAGACACGTCGACTGCTCATTCGCCTACGCCACTTCGGAATCGAACGCCCCCATGTTGTTCGCCTTGTACCAGATCTGCCAGGATATCTATCAGTATCTGAACGCTGACTTCAATCACGTGGTGGTGTTATACTGTACCGTGAGTGCATCACAATTTGATAAATTTGCGGCATAATTGAGCGCAACTGCAAAATTATTTAAAGCTCTTGGCTCTTCACCATAGCCGTGATCATCATCTTGATTGATGATGATCAAAAGCAAGGAAATGCATGTCCAAAATTCTCAAAGTATATCGAAATAAAAAGATATATCCAAAAAATAACACTTGCAATTGATTAAACTCACAAAATACTCCAAACATTTTTCTCTTGCTCTAACAATCAACAACCATAAAATTAACGTGATAAGATAATAAGGGAATAAGAAGGTTGCAAGGTTTAAAAAGGAAGGCTACATGTCACGTTAATCTTACGGATTTCATTGATTATTAGATCAAAAAGAAAGTTTTCGGAGTATTTTAGAAGCGTGCTTAAGCGTGCTTAAAACAAGAAAAATCCGCACATGCAAATGAAAAAAATTCGATTACGAAGAATTTGCTGCAAGATAGAAGTTAATTAGATTAATAACATTCTAAATATTTTTCAAAAAGCTAGTTTAAAAAAAATAGTCTCGCGAGATATGCGCTTAAAGATTCTTGTTAGAAGCGTGCTTAATCGATTGCGTGTCATGTTTTTAAAAATATTTTTTTTTATTTTAATGTACTTTGCAAGAATTTTGGGCATGCATTTCCTCACTTCTGAGGTTATTAATCAAAAGTTCCGCGGCGAAAGAATTAAGGAATAGCCTTAAACAATTTCAACGGAGATCATGTTTGATCTTTCCAGGATGGGTTTCGCGCCAGCGCCACAATAGCGTGCACTCTACTGATTCACTGCGGCGCCTTGACCACTAGCGACGAGGCAATCTCGCTATTTACAACTAGACGTTGCCAGTCGCCGCATCTACAGCCCTCGGAATTGCGTAGCATCAATTACATGAGCCTATTGAGCAACGGTACACATCCGCATACCAAGCCGTTGATCCTTCGCTCTATCGTTATACAGCCGGTCCCACTCTTTACCAGAGCTAGGGACGGTTGTCGACCATACATCGAAATCTACAGCAATGGTGCGTTGATCTTCACGACGAAGAAGCCCAACTACGAAGAGATGAAACTCTTTGGAATGATGGAGGGCAAAGTCTGCTTGATACTTGGTGACGCGGCCGTGCGAGGCGACGTCACCATAGTAGTATACCACGCCAGGCAGCAACTCGGCCGCGTGATCGGCATCAAAATCGCCTCGCTGCACTTCCATACCGGCTACGTGCCCATCACCGAGAGCACGTTGGCGTTCGAGAAGCGTGACTTGGACGATGCACCTGATATCGGCGGCAAGTTTCGCGTGATGCTGAATGTTATGATAGGTGAAGAGAACTCAAAACTATCGAGGATACCGGCACCGTGGGAGGCGGAGACATGCGTCAAGCCTGTGCCGGATCCGTTGTTTGGCTCAACGTTGGAGATGGAAGAAACCTTAGAGAACTTTAGAACTTCCACTTCAGAAGAGGTAAAATATTTCTTTGTACGAAATTATTAATCATAATTCATTGTATTTGTAATGCAATGATTTATATAATTTGCTACTTATGTTAGGATGGTGCAAGAGATTTGTCATTTTTCTATTCTCGTAGAAAGTCGGGATATTAAAAGAAAAATAAAAAATTCTTATTAACTGTCTAAAAAAAACTGAGTTGATGTACATTTTACTTGTGAAAATTATTAATTTTTTTAAATTGGATAATTTCGTTTTCTACTTGACAAACATGACAAGCTTTACACCAACCTAATATAATTATGTTTTTCAAAGTAACGTTAAATGCGAAAGAAACACGTTAGTTTATAATAATCAATTGCTCTGATGTTATTACAGATCAAAAACAAACCACCAGTATTGTCGAACGAGACCGACACTGTCCCGCAGCATGAGGTACCTCAAGAAGTGGAGAATCCGAAGGAAGAAGAAGAAGCAGCAACAACAGTAAATAATGAGGAAAATAGCTTTCAAGAAGCTGATTTGCTGAACCTCGGTATGCCGGACAGCACCAGCAGTAATACCTCAAATACTCCCACCGCAGCCGCGGCTAATCCAGAATTAGATATATTCTCTACTTCTAGTCAAAATGAAAGCGATCTCTTAGGCGGGTTTGGTCTGTCGACGACGCAGGCCGAGACCGCCAACTCGATACCTTTAATCAACAATAGCGCTCACGGTGACTTATTGTTCGGGCACGACGACTCCGCGAAGAACAAATCTGTCAACAATAACAGCAATCTGAACATGAGTGATTTATTTTTCGGGCAAAATCAAACGTCCAACGTTAAGGAGGTTAACGATTTTCTTTTTGACCCGTTGGGCGGTAACTCAGCGAGCAATCTCATCGGCGGCCTCTCAACGTCAGGCTCTAAGCCAAACAACTTGAAGAGTCCGAGTTCCGAGGAGAACTTCCCGCGGAACGCCAGCGTGCCGAACTTCGCCGCACAGAACAAGGATCCTTTTGCGAATCTCGCGGGATCACTAGGCGCCGGTTTAACATCCAGCTGGAACGGCACGCCGAAGAACTCGAACACGCCGCAGTCGGCGAGTCCAGCGCCCGCGAGCACGCCTATTCACTCCAGTCCGAACATGCACAAATCCAATATCACGACCGCTGCTACTACTACTTCGACTACTTCTACTACTACTACTACTAACGCCAACAACGACGCAACTAGCAACGCGGACGTGTTTGGCAACAGAACGACAAAGGAGAAGTCGAGTGGCGATGCGTTCGAGGATCTACTCGGTAGTCAGGGATATAATTTCTTCAGCTCGCGCAAAGCCGAAAAGGATAGTCCGAAGACAATAAATCAGATGCGGAAGGTGGAAGCAGCTAAGACGATGGATCCCGACCGGATGAAGATTGCGGAGTGGACTGAGGGCAAGAAGGGTAACCTGCGCGCTCTACTATGTTCCCTGCACACGGTTCTTTGGCCGGAGGCTGATCGGTGGCAGCGTTGCGAGATGCATCAATTGGTAACGGCCGCAGATGTTAAGAAAGCGTATAGGAGAGCCTGTCTAGCTGTGCATCCGGATAAGGTATCTAAACGAATATATGTTGTTTATACTATTGTTTTCTGCACCGCGCGATTGTCACTGTCTCTTAGTATTCGTGAAGTAATTATTCAGCCGTTTGGTCAAGTTAATTTAGCGAAGTTGCGGTTGAAGCATTCCTCTCTCTTGATCTCGATTCAATATAAAACTACGTGTCTCTCTGTGTTGCAGCAAGCGGGCACGGCGAACGAGAATATAGCCAAGTTGATCTTCATGGAGCTGAACAACGCGTGGAGCACGTTCGAGAACGACGCGTCTCAGCAAAATCTATTTAGCTAATTTTAATAAGCGTTATCTGTTATCGAGAACCTGTCTCTGTAATTAATTTAGTTCCTAGCGGAAGGGGAGCTAAGAAGGGGGAGGGGGGTCTTGTTATCGTGAGATAACCACGCAACTGCATTCCGACTACGTTATTTTAGCTATTAGAGAAAGAACGGGGAAAGTGTAATCGTCAGAAGCGACGACGAGATGGAAGCAGCGTTTCGTGGAAGCATCTCTTTATCGTTTCAACGCCTTGTAAACCTAGTTAAAAGAAAAGAAAATGCTCCCAATTATGACAGTACGGCGTAACGTTTATGTATATAACGCAAATGTAAATTAAAAGATCCCAAATATACGAAGATATTTTCCGGTCGAAAAGAAGCACTTTGCTTTGTCACTGGAATGAGATGGAATTTGGGAATTTCCGTAGAGGTATTCCGTATTTCTGTCCGCGCTATCTATTAGTTTATTATATAAAAGCCTTGCACGTGGAATAACGATAATAAATCGATAGATACTATATGTTTGAGCTATTCAAAAGCAAAATTATTTCTTATGAAATTATGAGTGATATTGGTTAATAACTTAAAATATGGAATATCGCTACAAGATGATGCCTGATTTTACAGATTTTACCTCCCGGTCATTCGTTAAATTTTTTCTCACATATATTAATTCTTATCTTTAATTGCATTGTGTTATCGCAATCAGAAGTTTGAGTTCTGATACTTTTATATGTTTTGTAAACGGATTGTGTTTCATAAATCTCGACTTGCGTCAGTTTTACTTTTGAGTTCGTAAATAATGTTATTTGCAATTTCCAGTTTTTCACAAGCGGAAAGCTATTACTTCCACGACGTTTCGCTCGAGAAAAGATTGACCTCGCATTGCTCCAAGAGGAATCCTCCCTCGAAATCAGGTCGCGGTTTCCGGGACATCTCGTATCAGAAGCTCGGGAAATCTGTTCTTTTTTAATTCGCAGGACGCCACGAGACATTTATAACGGGCGTCAGCAAAATTTGCGAGTGTTGGTGGTATTGTTGAGGAGCCGCCAATACACACTCGGACACGCGCGATACTCACACACACATCTACATATGCGTACACAAGGAGAGACAGGCGCAATAGGTGAGAATGGCTGAGCGCGCTCGCGTGGACTACAGGCCACAGGGGTGAAATTTAAAGGGAGGGGCTGCTCGAAAATGGCCGTTACGCACGGGGTAGATCGTCCGGGGGTGGACAAGTGACGGCTCTTCGTCCCTGTCTTCCAACACGGACCAATTGACCGGCCGCCTCGCGGCGATCGACACGGTTTGCCAATCGACTGCTATTATGCGGTGGCCAAAAAGCGATTCCTGTGCTCTTCTCAAACCCCCTCCAGACGCGCGACCTTCCATCCCTTCCGTCAAGAGGTAAGGTCGTCTCTGTTTTGTGCACCCTCGCGAAACGCGTTCACGTCGTCTCTAGAGTTGTGACTGGAATCTCTCGCCAAAGTTGTGTTCGCGTTCACGCGACATGTATCCGTTCGCTCCTGCCGAGAGAGTTACCCTGGCACTTGTGCAAAAAAAAGTAGAGCAGGATAATCAGCCCTCGCAGACGAAATCTTCTAGACAAGTATAACGTAAGAATACTTTACGAAATGCGGATATGCCGTAACTTTGAGAGAGATTTTAGCTGAATATACATGCTGTGCGCTTTAAATCTTACGTTATTATTTTACATTATAGTTGATGTGTATACTTTGTGTAATATAATTTTACATTGTTTGACAGAATTGTTATCTCGTGTTTATGTGAGAATTTTTTGGTAATATATGCGAATATTATGACAGTTACATGCATTTGTAACTGTACAAGATATAGAAGCTTTGCTTGTAAAATTACACAAGTGTCCTGTGCTTGTAAAAATGCTTTGCTCACAGGAAGTGTAACTTAACAACTTGATAGTACTTGTAATAATATCTCAAAGAGAGAGAGGGAGATTTGCTGCTGATCACTAACAGTGATATATATTTTGCAGATTAGATCCATACTTCGACAATGTACGTCAGAAAAGCTAAATAGAAAAAGAGGAAGGGAAGTATACAGGAAAAGTGGGGAAGATGCCCGGTTCCTATACAGGAGTAGTAATCCTCCTCTTGTTAGGGGCTTCTATGCTAGTATCCGGCACTGCGGATGCTGCTAAGTCTCTCAGAGCAGTCAAGGCTAGGCTGAGATCGTCTTACGCATCGTGGCGGATAGTGGTATGTTTAACTCAGCCTCAGACTCCTTTCAAGACAGACGTACAGAGAGCATGGGAAGAAACGAGACTGGAATCTTTTCACGCGGACATGGATGTGTCGTATATAGAAGCAAGGATGACACCCATGACGGATTCCTTGTCATATCCCTTGTCACTGTTAAACAAATTTTGTACAGACATCGAAGGCGGAAAGACAGTATTAAGCCTTATTATAGGGGGAGGGTCAGCAGCTAGATTTCTCGTCACAGCTACTGCCGCCTTGAATCTACCAGCTTTATGGTTGCCATTTACACACAGAGATTTTCTCCGTCAGGTTTGTACTTGAGCGACTTCTTCTAAAATCGCAGCTACCGACTATTAAATTCTACCAATGATGAACTCTTGCGAACGATTACAGGGAAATCTCGGTCGGTTTGAGAATCGCATAGGCTCCAGCTCCAAGGAGGTCGGAGCTGCGGCTGCTGCTTTAATGCATCGGGCTAACTGGCACGCGTTCACCCTTCTCATCGACACCACCTTGCTACCCGTGACCCATCTACTGCAGACGAATCAACCTACGCTGACACCACGCGCGATTATACATCTACCAACGAACGACAGGACGTTGAGGTTGCGATTGAGGCGCGTGGCCGAGGAGACTGGCAGCGGCGGAGTCGTGGTGATGGCCTGTGACTTGACTAACGCACGGAAAATCCTCGGGGCGGCCAGCAGGTTCGAGATGCTCTCGGGTAGATTCTTGTGGCTGTGGTTAGATCTGAAGGCAGAGCTGCGGCCCAACGAGCCCAACATCATCAGCTCGCACGTCCTTCACAGTCCAAGAGTAGCGATCGCAGCAACGAACGATAAGACACCGCTCGAGCGGATGACGAATCTTGCGTCGAATGAACGGGGATTGTCGCTCAACCCGTTGCCCAATCTAGCTAACGACATACATCGACTGCAGGAGTACAGATGGCAGGATGAAAAGACGTTGAGCAAACGGGAGGACAAGGGTTTCAATTTCGATGACGAGGACGACATCAGACTCACCACCGACAAAGAGCTCAACTCCAAGAGCTTCATGCCGGTCGGTATGCTTGCGCTCAGACCGTCCGGCATCAAGATCATGGGTGGCGACACTATACTGTCCAGGATGCTGCGTGAAACGTCGCAGGCGTTAGACGAAACTTTCCTGGAAATGAAAACAAGGATTAGTCGTCTGCGAGAGGCGCAGCTCAAAGAGCACTTTATGCCGGAATGCTTTCCGGAACGTAATGCCAAGTTTTTAATGAGCGACGCTCGGCAAAACATGTCTGCGACATTGACGAAAAAGCTAAGAAAATCCATGGGACAGATCTCCAAGGACAAGGCGGAGTTCCAGCTGCTGAATCTACAAGCCGTTAGATTTCCTGGGAATAAGACTCAATTAAGGTTCAACTCGGTCTCATAAACGTATATTAAAATATATATTAATATAATAATATATATCTCTTAATATATTGATATTTTAGAATAAAGTCATTCTCAGTGAGCGCAGCTTATCTGATATTGTTGACGTTTTATAGGTGGACCAAGGTCGGCACAATCAAAGGCGGCAGAGAGGTGCGCTTGGACACGATAATCTGGCCAGGAGGCGGAATTGTGCCGGCATATCTCGAACAGGGTGGCGAGAAAATCGGAATGCCGGTGTATCGTATTGTGACTGCGATAGCGTCACCATTCACCATGGTGACAGAGCTGCAGGAAGGTTTCTGCCTACGTGGTCTGACCTGTCGTCAAGGTAACGCCGTGGTGTGCTGCTACGGTCTTAGCATGGATCTGCTGACGTTGGTGGCGCGCGAGCTCGGCTTCCGCTTCGATCTTTACTTGGCTGAAGACGGTTTGTTCGGCAAACGCAACGGTAGGAGCGGCACGTGGAACGGTGTGATGGGCGAGCTCGTGTCCGGTCGAGCGCAGTTGGCGTTCGCACCCATGAGCGTGTCCGCGCATCGGGCCGAAGTGGTGGACTTCACCACGCCGTACTACTTCAGCGGCGTGAGCTTTCTCACGGCGCCGAAGTTACGGTCCGAAATACCGCTGTTCGCGTTCCTGTTCCCGTTCAGCACGGAACTGTGGATCGCCGTGTTTACGTCGTTGAACTTCACCGCGATCGCGGTTGCGCTTTACGAGTGGTTCAGCCCGTTTGGCCTGAATCCTTGGGGCAGGCAACGCAGCAAAAACTTCTCCATAGCGTCCGCTCTGTGGGTAATGTGGGGTTTGCTGTGTGGCCACCTCGTCGCCTTCAAAGCCCCCAAATCCTGGCCTAACAAGTTCCTCATTAATATCTGGGGTGGCTTCTCCGTCATCTTCGTAGCCTCGTATACGGCGAACATAGCCGCCCTCATCGCCGGTCTCTTCTTTCACTCAGCAGGCAGTAATTATCACGACAAAAGCGTGAGTTATCATTTGATATTTCTATGAATTATTCCTATAAAATTATTAATGCTGACCGGTGGTAACGACCAATTATTTCTGTCAAACTGTTTCTACGGATATTCTATGTCTAGTTCTTATGTTATAGAAAATATTTATTCTGTTTTCAGATATTTAGCTTTTTGAGTGCACATATCTTTTAAGAATGCACTGAAAATTATATTACGTTGCAGCTGTTGTCGCAGAGGGTCGGCGCGCCAAGGGCATCCGCAGCAGAGTACTACGTGCAGAGAGCGAATCCGCAATTGTGGTCCCACATGTCTCGTTATTCCCTGTCGAACGTCGCTGAAGGCGTAGAAAAATTGAGAAACGGCAGTCTGGACATCCTAATCGCCGACACGCCGATTTTGGATTACTATCGAGGAACCGACGCAGGTTGCCGCTTGCAGAAAATCGGCGACACCATCAACGAAGATACTTACGCGATTGCGCTCACCAAGGGGCATCCCCTCAAGGAGAGCATATCTAAAGTTATAGCGAATTACACGAGCAACGGCTTGCTCGATATTCTACAGGAGAAATGGTGAGTCGCAAACAAGCGCAAAAATTGAATAACCGATATTATCGGTTCGCGTGCGAACTTTCTTTTTATTTGCACGATAACGGGAGCGTAATAATTACTTTAGACTAAAATATATTAAGTAGTAAATAAAGCCTGTTATGTAGAATACACTGCCTGGAACAATATAAGCATCAAAAATAGAAATACGTATGTTTACCGTTATAGCTATTAAATACATATTGATTTTATATATTTTTTACGCGTACATCACTTTAGATGCGCATCGATAGTATACCGGTAGCTGCCGCGATATTGAGCATGATAAAATTCTAAAATCATTGCGTGCAAATTATTAGGACCTTAACTTAGTTTCCGCCCGCAAATGTTAGATGGCAATGCAAACAGTTCTAGTAGTCATTACTAACGAAACAGGTAGTTTGTGATTAATTTCGACATTTCTCGATAACATTCAGTCAGCATACACAATTATTTTCCTAAACAACAATTTCTTTTGCTTTGTGAAAAATGGAACGCGATAAAGTGTTTTTTCGACAT